CAGATTAGACGCTCCTTGTGTTTATTCTTATATTTCGAAAACGCCACAGTTTTCATGCAGCTCATACCATATTATTTTGTTGTATTATTTCCGCCACACCTTAAAAGCCGGTCCCTGAAAATATTGTCTGACATAAACCGGTCCGTGGGGCAAAAAAGGTTGGGGGCCCCTGCTGTACACTATAGAAGAGCGATTCTCAAAGTGTGATACCAGTAAATGTGGTGTGCGGGCTCCTAGTTGTACGTCAATGATGAATTTAAGTATTCCATTAACCTGCCATGCATGTTTTTGGATTGTGGGAGGAAACCGGAGTACCCGGAGAAAACCCATGTGGGCACGGGGGGAACATGCAAACTCTACATTGGAAGGCCGGAGCCAGAATTGAACCCGGCACCTCTGCACTGTGAGGCAGACGTGATAACCAGTTGATCACTGTGCCGCCATTTACCTCTTATGTACAGAATACAGTCAAACCTCGGTTTTCGAACATCTCGGTTCTTGAGCAATTCAGGGTAGAGGGGAGTTGCTGGAGCCTATCCCAGCTGACTTTGTGCGGAAGGCAGACCATACCCTGAACTGGTCGCCAGTCAGTCGCAGGGCACATATAGAGACAAATGACCATTCACACCCACATTCACACCGTCACTGAGTGGGAACCGATCCCACACTGCCCGCACATAAGTCTCAAGTCTTTGTTTAACTGAAAAACAGAGAGATAAATCAGTAAAAATCAGACAGTCATATACAGATTTTTTATGATTGGGGTGGTTAATATCATTATCTTGGTTTTAAAAATCATTTTAAATAAAGAAAAACGTTGCCATTTATTTAGTTTATTGTCTCATGATATTATGTCATTATGTACTTTTTACAGATTTTCCATGTTCATTCTTGTAAAATTACATATTTTACAATTTTAGAAATACTTATGCCTGCGACGGTTCTGAATTTTAATGTTGGTCAATATAGCGGTCTTTGGAAAGACATTTTTTTGGGTGGTACTTGTAAAATGCTTAAGAAGCACTGCGGTACACAAACAATATTGTCCTTGGAAAGGGCACGGCTGAGCTGAAGCCTATCGCAGATGACTTTTGGCCAGATCCACCCTGGACTGGTTGCCAGTCAGTTGCTGGCCACATATAGACAAACAAATTCACCCTCACAGTCAGTCTTCAATGAACAACATGCTTGATTTTGGAGGGGAAGCTGGAGTATATGCAGAACCAACTGCCAAGAATAAAGGAGCCCAGGTTCAAACCCATGACCTCTTGACTGTGAGGCAGACGGGCCAACCACAATAGCACCGTGCAGGTCACTGTGCAAAGAGTCAATTGAAATGCGAATGAGATGACTTTCTTCGTGCTTCTGATTGCCCTCATCCTTAGCAGGGGTTATCCTGTAGCACCACCTGTTGCTTCGGCATGCCATTCTGGAAAGTAGTGTGCAGTGTATAGCACATTCTAAAAAAAAAAAAAAAAAAAAAAAAAAAAATTATTTTAAATAAAGAAAAACGTTGCCATTTATTTAGTTTATTGTCTCATGATATTATGTCATTATGTACTTTTTACAGATTTTCCATGTTCATTCTTGTAAAATTACATATTTTACAATTTTAGAAATACTTATGCCTGCGACGGTTCTGAATTTTAATGTTGGTCAATATAGCGGTCTTTGGAAAGACATTTTTTTGGGTGGTACTTGTAAAATGCTTAAGAAGCACTGCGGTACACAAACAATATTGTCCTTGGAAAGGGCACGGCTGAGCTGAAGCCTATCGCAGATGACTTTTGGCCAGATCCACCCTGGACTGGTTGCCAGTCAGTTGCTGGCCACATATAGACAAACAAATTCACCCTCACAGTCAGTCTTCAATGAACAACATGCTTGATTTTGGAGGGGAAGCTGGAGTATATGCAGAACCAACTGCCAAGAATAAAGGAGCCCAGGTTCAAACCCATGACCTCTTGACTGTGAGGCAGACGGGCCAACCACAATAGCACCGTGCAGGTCACTGTGCAAAGAGTCAATTGAAATGCGAATGAGATGACTTTCTTCGTGCTTCTGATTGCCCTCATCCTTAGCAGGGGTTATCCTGTAGCACCACCTGTTGCTTCGGCATGCCATTCTGGAAAGTAGTGTGCAGTGTATAGCACATTCTAAAAAAAAAAAAAAAAAAAAAACAGATTTGCACTGTACTGTCTGCACTCCACACTCGAATTCTTTTTGAATGCTACCCATAAACAAATGAGGCTTTCACGAGCTGCTTGATTTTATTCATGCATCTTTTATGGTTACCTGCACCACATCCCCTCTCTCTTTCTTGGCACTCTCTCCCCTCTGTACGGCATGGGAGGTTGGGAGGATGCGCCTCCTCCTCCTCCTCCTCTTCACACCCACAATTACACTATCGCATGTGTGCACGTCAAAGGAAGACGCTTTGCAGACCTGCAGATTCAGAAGGTGAGTTTTAATTCATGCAACGTACTTAATTTGTGTTTATTCGTGCCTGCCTACGTGTTGGTTCGTCTTTTATTGATGCTTACAGGTACCTATTCAGGGGGTAAAACATTTTTTTTATGAACATATGCACCGTCCTGCCATAATTTTGCTTTAATGATCTCAAGCACATTATGGTAACATTGCAGGTTTAGTTTAACATTGGAAGAGTCAAGGGTCAATCATGTATTATGCACATGAGGCAGCCTAATTAACCTTGAGGTGGAAAAAGAAGTAGTGATTGGCATTCATCAGGGCAGTGCATCTAATTTCAATCATCCTCCGAGCACCACCAGTTGATAGAACATATTTAAAGCTCATTAGTGTGGCGGGGAAAGATAATCCTATATTCCTGCACCAAACTGTTTCCTTTTCTTCCAATTAAATGGTGGCAAGGAAAAAAGGGGAAAACGGCGGCAATGTTGTTTTTTTTTTCTGCGTGCCAGTTGTCTCCCGAACATCCCCGCAAGCTAAGAAGCACACTCACCTGCAATTGTTACCGTTTCCCAAATGGAACAAGAGATGCATTCAACAATTTCTTGCCTGACTTTCCCTGTGCAGCACAAATGGTTATCAAGCTGATCTCACATTTCTGAGCTTCTGTGTTCGAATTTCAGCTCCCTCCTTCCTATGTGGAGTTTGCATGCTCTCCATCCGCATCACAAAAATGTGCTTCTTAGGTTTATGGGAGATTCGAAATTGGCCAAAGGTGTGAATCTGAGTGTGAATCCTTGTTTATCTCTCTGCGTACTGCAATTGGCTGGCCAGCAGCCGAGGACATGGCCACCTTATTTTGCCTGAAGTCATCATCACATGAAAACCCAGCAGGCTTGAGACAAGATTTGAATCAACCTTTCGAGTGTGAGACTGATGTGCTAACTGTGAGTATGCCAGACTGTCAAATGTGGTTCTAATCATCAGAATGAAAACAAGGTCATAACATTTGGGATTTTATTTACTTTTATTGGAAGTACAATTTAAACAAACAAGGTCAGGCAATTAGCTTTTTTTTGGCTTACCAATTGGCATTGAACTGACCAAGATGTTTTATTTTTAGATTTTTTTTTTTACAACCAAAATGACATATGAATCGCTATGAAACAAAAAAAAAAATCTCCTTTTAATCCCCCAAGTGAATTTTTGTCTCACATCCTTTGTTCTCTTAAAAGGTACTGTATAGAAGTTACAGTATTATTTCGCGTGAATTTTTCATCACTGACTACTTTATCAGGGTAGCATCAAAGCCAAGGATGCCAAACCATACGTATAAAATAATAAATAAGTATAAGACATCACGGTAATGAACATGGAAACGTTTGAGTCAGTCTGGGACCAAGAGCGCACTAAGCTAACGTTTCTCTCCATCATGGATAATCCTTCACATCCTTCTTATGACACACTGCACTCTGTACATCTTGGAGGTGTCATCATAACTCCTTCAAAGTGCGAGGTCAACCGTGTATTCTTGGCAGAGGTGTATCACTGAAAGGGGGTAATTCATTTTTACGAGCTACTCTGCGCATGCATTCTCATTTGCATTTTTATGTGTTGTGTTTCTCGTTTTACAAATGGCGTTAGGTATATATATATATATATATATATATATATAAAATTTGCGACGTCATCACAGTGTGCAACTGCGATTCAAATTTTGAGTCACTACAAAATTACTACCAAACAAACAAGATTTCATGAGTGGCTGACACCAGCGAACTCATGAAATGTTGTGGCAGACCCCTGCATGCTGCCCAAGGGTTGAGTGGATTTGCGCTGCATGGCTCAGAGTGCAAGGGCTCATAGAAGACGTTTCACATCTCATCTGAGAAGGCTTCATCAGTTCATTCACAAAGGTTTGTTGAGGACTGACCAGCCTGAGTTGGTGTGGAAAACCCAACTATTTCTGCTCCAAGTTGGAGGCACACCTTGCCACCAAGAATCGTATCGTTCTTTTGAAATGCTAAACATCCATCATTAAGTTGCCTTGCAAAGGCCTCTATCGGTCAACAAGTTAGGTGGAAAGTCCCTCATTAATATTCCATTATGTTGTAGAAAGGTCATGGAGCTACCTCTGTCAAGCAACACTGAGTTTTTGTTGAAGGAGAAATCATTGAATCTCTTAGTAATGGATAAAAGGACAGCATTGGATTTGCGGGATAGGCGGTGCCCTACGTAAACCACGTCCTCTGTTTAGAAAAGGTTTTTCCACCTTCACCTCGATGGATTCTCTCACTCCTCTTTCAAACCATTCTCTGTCCTGACCAAGCCTTGTTGCATGAATTGATGACAGTTCTGCTTGATTCAATACCCTGTGAAAGAAATGACTTGGATGAATGAGAATATCCACAATCATCTTTTTTTTGCTTTCAAACAGTTCCACGTGAGCAACTTAACAAAGCACTGATTGCTCCCTCGTCCTTTCTGCAGCCGTGAAATGGATGTCTTTTGGCAAGGTCCCACTTCAAATGTCTCCAGCAGGCTCAGCAATGCTAGCACATTCCCCGACTTCACCGTGGGTAACACCACCACCGCCAGCACCAGTCTCGACATTGAAACCACCCTCTTGTACATCCTCGGCCCTAAACGCTCTCCCTTCTTCCTACCGGTGGCCGCTGTCTACCTGCTCATCTTCCTGGTGGGCTTGAGTGGTAACCTTTTGACATGCGCCGTGGTAGCCAAGCACAAGAAGATGCGCAATCCCACCAACCTGTACCTAGTCAGCTTGGCTGTGTCCGATCTTCTCATGCTGACCTTCGGGATGCCCATGGAGATCTACGACCTGTGGCAGAACTACCCGTTCCCCTTCGGTGCCGTCGGGTGCTACTTCAAGACGTTCATCTTTGAGACTGTCTGTTTCGCATCCATCCTTAATGTCACAGCGTTGAGTGTGGAGCGATACATTGCTGTGGTGCACCCTCTCAAGACGCGCTACCTAACCACCAAGCGGCACGCCAAGCGGGTCATTGGTGCCGTGTGGGCGGCGTCCATGGTGTGCGCTGTACCCAACACATCCCTACACGGTATCTACTACCTCCTGGGCCACATGAGGGAGTCGGCCATTTGCACTGTGCTCAAGCCGCTGTGGATTTACCACACACTCATGCAGATCACCACCATCTGCTTCTTCTTCATCCCCATGATGGTGATTAGCGTGCTCTACCTGATCATGGGCCTGCACCTGGGCAGGGAAAGAACACAGAGGCGGGGCTACTTCGGCAAGAAATGGGGCAGCGACTCTCGTGTGAGCATCCACGATGAGGGCGGTCGCCGGACGCAAGTCATCAAGATGCTCTGTGAGTTTTCCCTTGAGAAATAGGAAATATACAACTACAAAAAGCATTTTGGTGGATCGTAAACAATTTTAAAACGAGGCTTCAAGCTATTGAATACTATTCCCATTTTAAGTGAACTGTCAACCTATACTCTTACACGAGTTTTTAAAAACAAAAAAAAAAACGTCTTTAGAATGCGCCTGGTAGCTTAATGCTAACGCATAATAGAAAATGGCATTGACGGATTAACCCAGGGGTCGGCAACCCAAAATGTTGAAACAGCCATATAGGACAAAAAAACCCCAAAAACAAATATGTCTGGAGCCGCAAAAAAATAAAAGCCTTCTATAAAACTTACAATGAAGGAAACACATGCTCTATGTATGTAGGAGACTGGACTGTCTCAGAATTGTTTATGCTACTCATTCCTTTGTTGTTTGTTCACAAACGCCCCCATAGAATTTATTTTGTAATTTCCTCGCTTGATTTTTTGTTTTGGTGCATTATTTTCGCTTTTCTTAGTGTCAGTGAAGTGATCATTAATTTCCGTTTTTCAGAGGCTGTCTTTGAACGTCTCTCGAGTCGAACGAGAAGAGAGAAGGCACGGAGTCGGACGCAGACGTGTTTGTGTTTGCCGAGACTGTTAAAAGCATAAATAAAGTGTATGTTTTAAAAAACCAACACCACAGCTCTCTTTTTTCGGAGCTGCAACATCTATATCTATTTGAGCTATATTAGCCTACTATCAAAATATTTTTCCATTTTCAAACATTTTTATACAGCTCCAAGGAGCGACGAGATGTCGCTAAAGAGCCGCATGCGGCTCTGGAGCCGCGTGTTGCCGACCCCCGGATTAACCCTTTGTATCAGTAGTGCTGGTTTGAATCGGATAAATCATGATGCACAAATTGTACCCACAAAATTTCGGGATATTGGGCTGTCAGGTGAAATTTCATCATGAATCTAAAATGCACTGTAACCCTTATAGGTGAACTTAAATTGACACAAAAGGGATTTTGTGTTCAACACACTCTAATGTCCCTCTAGCCAATTTCTGTACTCTATTTTAGGTGACTTTGGGTCACATGCAGGGTACACCCTGGACTGGTCATCCAGCTATCGCAGGGCACAAAAAGTTTAGATATTGGACTTTCGGTTGAAACTGACAGAGCGCCAGAATCTTAGTTTGTAATCCATGCCACTGTTGCCAAGGCATGCGCCCAAAATACAAAAATATGTGCAAAGGCATGTTGCTCATTTCTTGCACGGATCATTGTTATTTGCAAAAGTGTCTCTGGTGAGCTTCGCAGCCTAAAGAGACTTCAGGTAATTTTTATACCAAAGCCCCATCTGCTGTTGAGTCCACAGCAAAGACAGTGTACTTAATGAAAAGTAAAGACAAAAGCACATTTGTCAGGCTGTAAGGCGAACAACTGCTGGAGAAGATTCCTCTCAAACTAACTGGTGTTTTCATCCTTCAGCCATCGTGGTGGCAGTGTTTGGCGTGTGCTGGGCGCCCTTCCACATGGAGCGTTTGCTGTGGAGCTCCGTGCGCCAGTGGACTGACCTAATGCACAACATCTACCAGTACGTCCACATCCTATCAGGGGTCCTCTTTTACCTCAGCTCTGCCGTCAATCCGGTCATCTACAGCCTGATCTCCACACGCTTCCGCGAATGCTTCCGCGAACTCGTGTGCTCACGGACCGACGAACTCGACTCTCCACCGCCCCCGAAGAGTTCGCTGGTCATCTCCGCCTCCAGGGTCCAGAGCGGAGGTCAGGACTCGTTGATCCGCTTACTGTCTCCGCCAACGACACAGGGACTGGACTGTGTGTTATTCTCAAGTGCTTGCCAAGAGATGGCTTACGAGACTTCGGTGTTCTGAGATAACACTAGATTTACAAAGTAATACAACATTATCATGTGGGACTAACATAGATCCTTACAACCATTTGATTTCATGCAACCTGGACTGGTTGGCTTTCAATCATAGGATTGACACAAAGAGACAGCATGGAAGACAATTTAAGGTGTACTCACACTACGAGGCAATTTCAACCGTGCCAGACGTTTTGCTGTGCAATTGCTTCAGATAACCGTTGCATCACTGTAACTATTGTAACTCTGATTTTTCTGTGGTTCTGTTTATTTCCATTGTGAGTGGTGGTCGTTATCATGAAGGACTGGTGAGAGGCGTCATCGCATTAATTATATACGTACATGTGCCCATGTTGTGGAGTTTTTCTTTGGACTATCGATATTGATTTGTTTGTTTCTGTAGTACAAAGTGGCAGTGATGACCATCTAGCAAGAGGAGTGATTGCTTTAATTACAATATGTGACATGTCCATGCTGTGGATTAGTAGTATTGTTATTTTTTACCATAGATTATTAATCACTATGATTATTTCTATTGTTCAAGATGGGGAAGAACTGTCAACAAAAGTCATTGCATTTTTTAGATGACATGTACCTGTATGTGCCAATGCCGTGGACCTTTCTTTCATGTCACTGTGGAGAAAATTTTCAATTACCGGTACTGTTCATTTCTACTGTGCAAAACACTGGTTGTAACCAACTGTCAAAAGCAGCAATCAAATTAATTAGAACATGTAAATTAGATGTGCCTTTGCATTCTATTATCTTTTTAATACAAACCCAATACATAGAATACAATGCTTTGAAAAAAAATGTTCAATCTATACTGTATTTTATTGAATACATGAGAAAGACAAGATGTTTTATGTTCAAAATTATCAATTGTAATGTTTTTGGCAAATAATCATTAACTTTATATTTAATGCCTGCAAAATGTTTCAAAAAAGCTGGGACAGGTGGCAAAAAAGACTGAGAAAGTTGTAGAATGCTCATCAAACACCTGCTTGGACCATCCCACAGGTGAACATGGTAACTGGGAACAGGTGGGTATAAAATTGGGTATCAAATTGCTCAGTCACGAACAAAAAAAAGATTGTGCAAGGTCCATTCCACATATTTGTGAACAACTGCGTGAGAAAATCGTCAAACAGATTAAGGATGTTCCTTAACCTGTAATTGCAAGGAATTTGAGGATTTCATCATCTCCGGTCCATAATATCAAAAGGACCCCCTGCTTATTTCAGCAAGACAATGCCAAACTACATTCTGCATGTGTCACAATAGCGTGGCTTCGTCGTGAAAGAGTGCGGATACGAGACTGGCCTGGCTGCAGTCCAGACCTGTCTCCAATTGGAAATGTGTGGCGCATTAAAAAGCGGATCATCAAACAAGAATAGAAAAAAAAATCCTCAAAGCTTCCCAAATGCTTCTTACTGACTACATATAGTGGTAAACATGACCCTGTCCCAGCTCTTTTGGAACATGTTGCAGCCATAAAATTGCAAGTCAATGATTATTTGCTGAAAACAATAATGTTTATCAGTTTCAACATTAGCTGTTTTTATTTCTGTTTATCACAACACTCCCAACTTCATTGGAATTGGGTTTGTATTACCGAATTTCTTTTAACTGTGGATAATTGTTTATGTCTCATGTGCAAGGTGGCAGTTATAATTTAGGACTGGAGAACATTTTGCCCCTAAAATTTGAGACAGTGCAGCTACAACTTTTATCTACCCGCTCCACCACAACCAATAAATTTGCAGATTAAAAAAAAATTATTTAATTACCATTCATGAATATTTGTTGTTGCTGACAGACACCTGGTCTGCACTTCAGCCCATTTATCAGTTATATAGTGAAAATGAGGGGGAGGAATATTTACATTGCAATTCAATTTACCGTGTGTGTCCCTAAATCTACTTGCATGCCTGAAATGTCATGTTCGAGCCACTTTCGTTCAACTTTATGATTAAGTTCCCTTTATTTTTTTTTTTTTGGAATCGAGCAAGCTGATGGTTGTCATTTATTACAGTGGAGAGGAGAAATCTTGCACTCATGTTAACTGTGTGTCTCGTCTCTTTGGCCGTTAATCAGGAGGCTTGATGAACGGGCCAGGGGCTGCAATGTCATTGCAGCAAAATTTGATGCAGACTCAATTACTCAATTAACGCTCCTAATGTATCATTGGACTCCAAAGGAGACTGGAGGAGACCTTGGGGTGATGGGATTTGGACAAGGCAGATTTTTTTTTTTTGTCTAAATGCTCATGTAAAATCAAATGTGGACGCCATGATCCTGTTTGCTATTCATGTCCGACTCTCCTGTACAATCACTTAGACGAGAGTGTGTGGGGCAGTTTTATTTACCTAATGTAATTGGTTCTATCTGAAAGCTCCCTGCATATTCCACCAGCTCATCTTCGATTCCACCTGCTGCTTCCAGGCTAAAACCACCAACAGACGGAAAGGAGCTAAGTTGGATCAGATTGGAATAATGTCATCCTTGTTGTGAGGGGGAAAAAAAAAATGTCCAAGAATGTCAAAGTTTTTCCTGTGAAGTTCTGTTTTGAGTAGTTGTGATCACTGTTCGATAATATGCCAATTATTCAAGGGAATTGTGTAATTCAAAGGCTTCATCAATACATGTCAATATTAAATGATTTGACTTGCTAAACCCAAATCATGACTCGACTCAACTTGCTTGGAGACTGTTTTTTTTCTGCCAAAGTAACTTGGGACTTGCTTGAAACTTAAAGATTCAGACGTCAGGCTTACACGTGCACATAACACTTAATTTACAAGCACACTGCAGTTACCGGTTGATGAAAGTGTGAACGTGTCAATGTGGAAGTAAATATGTTTGAACCCACTTTCAAATACAATAGAATGTACATTTAGGCTACACTGGCAGTCTCGCCTTTATCAACAGGCTTGCCTTGCCTGGAGCCTAAAGGGCCTACTCTAATCAAGTGTCTATCAAATAAAAGAAAAAACATTTTGCATAATTCCCGTTGTTGGGGGCAGAGCGGCCTCCTCTTCCCTGCGTGTTCATTGAATTTCGGACGAGGAGAATGCTGGTAATCCAAATAAAGGCTGGAGGCGATGAACAGTTCCTTCGAAGGGTTTTAATTTATTTTCTGCAGTTTACGAATCGATTCGGGCTCCTGAGGGCTCCAGATTTCAATCAGGAAGCGTAGAAGAAACACATTCATGAGATTATATAGAGACAATATGATAATGAGAGGCGGGAAGGTACGCCTCTCATGCAAATCCCGGAAACAAAGAAAGTAACATGTCATCCGACCCGGTGTGGCTGGAAGAAGTTGGGAGTGGTGAGGTGAGACCAAACCACCACTACCCACCATTTAGTGTGATTGCAGGGACACAGATACTTGAGATAACAGTTCCTCTTTTGATGTTAAACATGTCCTATGGATGGGGTGCCCTAAAAGTGGTGGGGGACGAGGGGCACTGAAGGTGATTGTAAACACAGTGAGCAGGAAATACCTCCAACAACATTCTACATTCTTTGTTTCTCTTGTAGTATCTGTTTTATATCTGTTCATGTTAAAGTTATGAGAATATGTTACCTAATCGTCTTAAACAGAGAAAACAGGCATATGGCCGTCAAGCAGAAAAATGTATATGGTCATCAGAAATAGGCACATGGTTGTCAAGCAGAAAAATGTACATGGTCATCAGCAGATTAGCAAGAATGTCCACCATTGAGCTAGCCAGCTTGTTCGACGGTAATTTCATTAGGTTGCCAAGCCAACGAAGACCCCAAACTCGCATACATTGAGTCGCTATGCTTACGAGGATACAGTTATATCCAAAACCCACGTGCAATCACACAAAGGCCCAATAGGGGCCTCAATTGTTTTTTAAGAATGAAGTCAGCGTGATACCATTATAACTCGGAATAAATGACCGTAGCAACTAGCCAATGAAATGGGAGGGGTTGGCCCTCATAATGCTATAAAACCCGTGTTTAATCTCGAGGGGATTTCAGAGTTTTCCGATGTGCACATCTGTACCTCTCTGGGTTTGATAAAATAAACTCGTTTGTGGCCAACCTGAACCTTGGACTCCTGACTAAGTTTGTACTTAGTTTTTGACTGACTCCGGCCTCGAAATCAGAGAATCTTCTGGTGCGCCTCCTGCCTGCGGCTCAAGGAAGGAACTTCAGTGTCGGCCCTTGGCCGCCGCGCGCCCCTTGTCTCCGGGAGGAGGCGTGAGTCGGACTCGGGGCCGACACTTCACTCTCAAATCCAACTAACAGAGAGGAATAATACCTTAACACCGTGTTTGCAGCGTTTGGCCATTTGCAGCCATGTCGGCAATCAAAATAAGGTCTGCTTTATTTTTTTTCGTACCGCACCTGTATTTCAGGGATCACCAACCTTTTTAAATCTGAGAGCTACTTCTTCGTGACTGATCAGTGCAAAAGGTTCGCCAAAGTCAACCATAAAAATTGGTCAATACAAACATTTCTGCCTTGAAACGAAGCAGGGAAAGGGCGTTTTTATCCTAGCAATCGATGTAAAAATCTCATTAGTGGCAGCCCTAGTTACTATTAGTAATTAATGACATTTATGTGAAACAGTAATCATGTTCATGATTTGTCACAATTGTGAGGAAAAAAATAGCCAAATGTAAGATGTTGGTCCTGTCAATCTTTTCTATTGTTTACATTTTCAAATGGTCACTTAATACAACATTCCAACAAAATCAGAATCCCCCATCACTGGTGAACTTATTGGAACAAGCCCGCAGGCTACTCATGTGGTCCTTGGGGGCTACTTGGTATCGGGCGTTCGGAAGGTTGCGGACAGAGTTGGACATTACAAATATAGATTTTGGAAAGTTGATTTAACAAAAATATTTATTTACAAAAAATAGGCGCAAGGCCGACAAAGTACAAATAATGACGTGGACAACAAGCCAGGAATAATGCAAAGAACACAAAAAGCGCTTGCACAAGGCAAGGAAAAAACACAAACGAATATACAGGCAGCTTGTAACAAAACTACAAGAAGGACAAAACCACGTGGAGAACAAACCATGGATACACGTAAACACACCAAGACCTATTTACTTGAATAACGAATAAGCGAGCGTCAAGACGAAATGCACATGAACGACATGAGCAAGGCGATATTATCCGGCAGTTTGACGTGGGTCCATGAGGTCCGGAAATAGTTCCACTAATTGTGATGGCAGACAGGTGTGCAGCAGGAAAACCGAGAACGCCTTTGCCACACGAACAGAATGCGATCATTACACTTGGTGCCCTCGAGTACCACGTTGGTGAGCCCTACTGTAAAGTATTTGCAGCATGTATTTGCCCCTGTCGGCCACCGTAGTTTTAAACATGCATGGCCAAGGTATCCTTTGAATCACAGGACACTTCTGCCCTCTGCTGGCACACTACAGTTAAGATGACAGTTGTTCAATAACATTTGACTCGATATGTGCACCTAAGGGGAGACCCCAAACCGAGGAGCAACACTGGGACGCGAGGAAGACACAGGTAGGACATTTGTGGTAATTTGCATTGCCCCAATGCATGTTGCATTACTAAGTTGCTGACAAACTTAATGTCTCTGTAAATTGCTAGTTTTGCAATACGTTACTGCCAACACTGCCAGCAAAACACAAATAGCCACATGAAAGTGTTGCTTTCCCACATGACCCTGTATACATATTTAAAACGCCAAATGGAAATCATGCCCTGCAGACATAATAATAAAAGCATAAAATTAGGAATAAACAATATTTACTCACTTAATTTTGGAACGTATTTGTAGGAACCAAAATATTAATTTATTTTCCCTCGTGCATGTGCAAGTCAATCCCCTGTGGATAAAAATGTGTGACTGTATGTTTTTAGCATTTAGCCAACAAGTACCTTCAAATGTATTTGTTCGAACATACTGTATATGCAAATGTGTTCGAACGTAGTTGCAAATACATTCAAAGGCATTTGCCAGCCAAAAACGTTTACTCTACATTGGTAGTTCCAGGCATCCGTATTGGATGAATTAGTTAGCCTAGTTTGTTTTATTTCTTCTTCTACTAGTACTCTGGTAGTGAGGATGCCCTGTGGGACTGTGCTGCCTCACACAGCTCAGTCTTGGTACTACGCTACACATCTGCTCACCTCGTTCTCCTCTTGACACAAACCACATTGAATAGCTTGTCATATTTCATTGTAATGTCAACATTTCCTTCACATTTCCATCAGATGACATTTTCAGTTTGGTCTTTTTTATTTCCCGGTAGCCAAGGCAGGCAGGCGGACAAGCACCGGAAAAGAAAAGGGTAAATGTAAGCATTTGCATTTTGAGTTATTTCTGTCTTCTTGGTCTGCCAGCACCCACAGCGGCATCAACAGCGTATTATATGAATAATCCCTAGCTGTGTCGGGGGTCACAATGAATTGGAGTCCATTTTCAGGGATTACGCTGCAAAGAGCCAGAAGAGCACAGGCAGAAGCCTCTCTGTTAATGTCAAAAATATTTCACACGAGGCTGTTTGGAGAGTAATTTAACCTTTAAATACTCTTACAGAAGTCATAAACCCATGAGATGGGTTCATGACAAATACAACAAATTTTCACCCGGCCACAACATTAGGTACATGCCTGGTGCAATTGATAAGATGTTTCAAAAATGATCTATTTTACAAAGACAAATAACGCTCAGTTTTGAATAACTATCAGAGTTATTGATTTAACAAAAAGTGTTGGTATGGAATGGCAAACAACCCAGAGTTTAAAAACATTTTTGGAAACATCACTGAAATGACACCAAAACATCCACACACACACACACGCACGCACGCACGCACGCACGCACGCACGCACGCACGCACGCACATTCTTTTTAATTTTTCAATTAAGTGGCACACAGATTATAGGTGACATTAATGGTGCAAAATTTTTGGAATGATTTATCTTGGTCTTATTTATTTTTTTTACACCACAAAACCCTCATCATTTGAACAGGGGTGTCCGGACTTCCACTGTGGGTGTGCCATATTTGTTAGATTTGCTGCCAAAGGCTCATCACCAAAGTAAAAAAAGTTTGTTAATACTGACAAAAACTACATGTGAGCTTTCTTTATTGCGTGATGTGTGTAGAGTTTTGAGAAAAAAAAATGAATGTCATCAATTTTGGAATAAGGTTGTCACAAAAAATGTGAAAGAAGTGCTACGCTGTGAATACCATCCAGCTGAACTGTATTTCTGAAAACACGAGTACTAATTGAGAAGAGTTGCATATAAAAACCTACCTGAATACGTCATCAATCAAAAGTGAACATTGTAAAGGCAGACTTTGCTATTATTCCAAACAGCTCTTTATATAGCATTTCATTTAAGTGTGGCAAGTCGCCATCAGCAAACCAAATTCTTTCTCAAACAGAGGAGAGTGACAAAATGGGATCATAATTCGTGGCAACTGTGCAAGAACGTGATATACAGTGAACCCCGACCTATTGTATTCCTCAATAACCGTTTGCTTATTCACCAATTCACAATTTGTGGCCAGCAGTTTGAGCACAGAAGCGATTCAAACCTTTATGGTAAAAAGCTTTCTCTTTTCTGTTTTGTTTCCGATTTCCTATGGACAGACGTAAGGCCATTAGCATTTGACAGCTTCGACTTTGACGTTTTTGTCAGCATATCATTCCCTTGCCATGATTGCTGACTTGCTGCATGGCAGGCAGTTTTTCTCTTCCCAACTGCAGTTCACCACAAATTTGAGAGTATTTATGGCTGTCAAACTGCTCCAACCTGTAAAACAATGTACACTATGCAAGGTAACTTTCTGGAAACTGCATCTATCCTTCACGAACTACATAGTGCAAGGCCTGCTACTACCATCACTCGTGAAAACAGTGAACTCCCAGAAAGGGCATTTGCAAAAAGCCAGGTAAGGTCTATTTGCAGAGGGATGCACTTGAACTCGGCATCAACAAATGTTTGATTCAGCGGATACTTTGGAGAGTGAGAGAGCTCTACTCGTATCAATGTGAGAGCTTCTGATGCTCAACAACCTCAAGTGTAAATTGTACAAAGCGTTGGAGTAGCAGGACTTTCATAACGCTTCTCCATCTGGCAGTGAACACGACAGGAAAACCTCTTGGCAGGTGTCAATTTAATTCCAATATCAATTCGTGAGCCATGGTTAGGGGAATGAAAGCTTACAAAAACAGGGAAGCTCAAGCTGCCAAATGCTGATGGTCTATAGTTACTTTTGGGACACCCTGTATAAACTATATTCCTACTTTTGCACATTGCTGCATGTATTTACATTAAAAAAACTTCTACTGTATTTACAGCACCACAAAGTCAAAAACTAAAAAAGTAATCGGTATTTTCACATTGCATTTTGCCTAGATCAAAACATCTGTGTCATTAATTTTTTTAAGGGTGATTTTACAAGATTTAAATGATCAGCACATCAGCAAGCTCTGTAGTAGCCTGGAAATTATTCTGATCGTTTGAATCTGGTGTGTTGCAGTTGGGAGAGATGGAAAACATGCAGGATAACGGCCCTCGAGGACAAGAGTCTGACACCCGTGGTTTTAAATAGTAGTAGGCAATTATTAAGGGGAGTGGGGGGGTGTCAATTATTCACAGGTTTTTGCTGCGGTCAGATCTAACGCTAGCCGATCATTTCTGATGGCACGTTTCCATATACGGTAATCCCTCACTGTAACACGGTTCATTTGTCACTGTTTTGCTGTTTCATGGATTTTTTTTTTGTGCAATTTTTTCTATACAGTGTATTGTGTTCTGATTGGCTAAGGGACTGTAGACTAATCTCAACGCACTCCGCATCTCATCACTGTACAGCTTGTCAAATTTTCCCCATGACAAAACCCACAAACTGACGAAACTTTCTGTAAAGTATTTCTAAAACCCGGCAGTTGTTTGTTAGAAAACATTTATATATATATATATATATTTTAATGCTTAAGCCTGAATACAGGTTTAATCTTTGGCTTAATTGAATACAGTATTATATTCGTAATAATTGTAAAAAATAAAGATGACTACTTAACGGATTTCACTTATCGGGGGTTCTTTTTGGAACGTAACCCTCGCGATAAAGGAGGGATTACTGTATAGTCAATGCAGTTCGCACAGTTGCATGGCTGGCAGTGTGAATGAAGCGTTTGAAGTGATGTGGACTTTTGGCGGTGTTGCGTTACGACGCGTAATTGGTGTTGAGAATGTACGCACCACATCAAATAAAGCCACAGATGCACACGTACAGACACAGAGCCAAAAAAAAGTTATAAAAAAAAATGGCAAACAGCGTGGTGAACCAAGAACAATGCGGGACAATATCATTGCGGTCTTGGCTGGCAACCAGTTCAGGGTGTACCCCATCAACTGCCCCAACATCGTGGGGCAGTTGATGGGGTACACCCATCAACTGTGATAAGCTCCAGCATGCTCGCGACCCTTGTGAGGATAAAGCGGTTCAGATAATGGATGGATCATTGAGGTTGACAACACAGCCGGCTTTCACTAGCGGCTGGGACCAAGCCAAAAAGAGAACGGGAAGCAAGGAAGATGATGTATCAGGTGAGTGGACTGACTTGTTTTTAGCTGTTGAACAGGCCAACAAGATAGCATTTAGGAGCCAAAGCAAGAACACAACTAGCAATGTCCAAACATGAAGGAAGATCCCCTCCGTTTCTCAGCTCAAAGCAACCCGTGTAGTTTAACCGCGAGCAAACACATATGCACCACAAGCGGTGCAATATTTTGTGTTCGGTCACAACCTTAGCATTAGTCGGTAATTCCTGTTAATAGCAAGGGTTCACTGTAAAACGTGTTGACAGTGGTGTTAAAAAACGGGAAAAAGAAGACATGATGTCTCAAAAGTAGCTTAAGGAGAGCAGATGAAAAGTGAAAAATAAAATAAATGACGTACAGGCAGGAGACAAAATGATGTGTTAACAGCGTCAGAAGATGAGATGAGTAACTTTCACAGCATGTCCGCATGACCACCTTCATTCATAACAACCCCCTCAAGGCCACGATGCAAACAAGTCTGCTTTAGAGAGAAGTGACTCAACTGGAGAAGGACGGTTTGCGTGCTATCCTGACCACATTGTATGTGTTCAGCCCCGGTGCATCGAACCCAGGGGACATGCCGTGCTTGTCGTATGCGTAGAAGTTGAACAGTTGTCCATCCTGCGCCTCCAGGGACACTGAGGCCGAGCCCACCCTGAGGACGCAGGGGTACTCCCTTTCAAAGACCACCTTGAAGACGCGCTCCACCAGGAAATTGAGCTTTATGGTCCGGTACGTTTGCGGAATCAGCTCTTCGATTTGAGGGCCGAATTGCTGCATGATGAGAACGCCGTCCGAGCCAGCTTTGATTTCGTAGAAGGTGATGTTGCTGTAGGTGAAGAAGCCTGCATAGGCCTCCGGATTTGGGGGTGCGAACAGCACCCTCCGGGCATCCCTGAATGCATTTTCTAAGGCAGGGACGATGTGACGGTAGGCTTTGGCCACAACGTCTTGCTTCTGGGACCGACCTCCGGCCATGAGCACCACCAGTCCAAGCTTGAGTCGCGGCACCAGGGAGAATGTGGCCGAATATCCGTCAAGGTCGCCATCTTTGCGCACCATCTCATAGCCCAGCAGCTCATTCACCTCCCACGGCGTCCCCGTGCGGTTGGCGAAGTAGTCCTTGTCGCACCTGAACAGCGGCGTGAGCATGATCTTCAAAGAGTCAGGATCCAGAAGCTTGCGGTGATAGGCGCCCAGCAGCATCATGGCCAGCTTGGCCAGGTCTGCCGCTGTGGAGAACATCTGACCCGATGGGCGATACCAGCCCAAGTCATAGAGCGGGGCGGGCTTCCCGTTGGAGTACACGCCCACGGCCACCTGGCCCTGGAGGCCTGGCGTGATGTCAAAACCGGTGTCCTCCATGCCCAGACGGTCCAGGATGTTGTCTGATACCCAGCGCTGGTAGTCCATGTTGACCACGCGCTCGGACATCACGTGAGCCAGCAGTGAGAAGGCGAGGTTGCTGTAGTGACATCTGGAAACAGAGGCGTAAAGTTGAATTATATTAAAAGTCTGTGTAGCGAAATGTTAAAAACGCCACAGACGTATAGTGAACAGCTGCGTTGTGTTCCACCCCTTTAAGCATTGGATTTTTAAACAAAAACCATCAAGCAATACATACAGACAGATTACATAACAGTGCTCAGAGACATATATTCTTTATCCTCTTTTAAAAAGCTTACTGAGGAGTTGTGACCATCTCCTTGTACTCCATAATCCATGGATGTTTTTTGCCCCAAAGTGGATAAGGCGCACACACCAGAAGGAGCAGCACAAGCACAAGTCCACAAAATGTGTCAAAAAAGGTGTAATTCTTTACATTCGATTTAATTACGTCATTACCGTATGTTGTTTTTCAAGTGCAATACAAGCGCTATTTTTCTTCGTAAACAGATGGAAATAAACTGTTATCAATGTACACTAAAATTCACATTGCACCTTTTTATTCATGCTCACATAAACGGACTACATTTCGGCATTTTGGTGCATATGAGCAATTGCCAGTTTTTAAAAACCAACGGTCTCTAAGCGATCAATTAAAATGAATCAATCTGCTGGCACCTCACACTCGTGACCTGCTTGCCGGTAGATGTCTTGAGGATGCACTTTTTTTCTTTTGAACTTCAAATAATGATAATAATGAGTGACAGGTAAAAGATTTTTTTTTTTAAATCTTGATTTTTCCATTTTCTAAAACTACGATTGCTGTAAAACACTTCACGGAGCTATTTATTTTCAGACATTTTCATTTCACATTGCTGCTTCACCTGCCAAGTTTCTTACACTTTTTGTAAGAATTGTTCAAATGGTCGGTCAAGTGTCAATACTTATGTGAAATAGTACTTTGTAGTTAGCAATCGTGTTTTTAGATGATTGGAGGTTTGTTCAGGTGCCGCGGTAACGCTGTCTAGCTGTCATTGAGGCGTTGTGCCTGGCAATACTAAACGAGATTTTGAAAACAACGTTGGCAACACATAACAAATAAAACAGCCATAACCCAGTTCATTACAATATATTGTGTTGTTATGGTGCTTTGAAGAAAAAAAAAAGGTCATTTAAACGCAATATGCATAAAAATTGCCAGGGGATGCAGACAATAAAAACCAGGATTAGAGTTTGTCTGTGCGAGTGTGTGTGCGTGCATTTGCATTTGTCTGCATGTGGGGAGGGTTCTATCCTTCACTCTCCCAACTGAGCCGACAATCACCCACTAGCAACTCCAGATAAAACTGTCTAGAACCGCTAGTTAGAATAACCAAAGCCCTACTTGGTTCCCGGGTCGGCGACAAGGACATCGTCCTGCAGAAGGTTGATCGCTGACTGAGTCTTTCCTTTCCAGAGGAGGTTTGTTGCCCTGAGTCTCCTGGGCAGGCCTAGTGTTGAAAATGAATCACAGAATTGACCACAGCATTTGTATGCTTGTCACAGACATACACAAACACTCCTGTCAATATGTTGCCCTTCTTCATTTGTTATTCTTGCACCGATCAATTCTCCCACACAAACAGCCATTAAATAGCTCTGATTCTTATCACGCAGGCTACGAAAGAACACAAGGTGACTGTACTGTTTAGATTATGGGTGTCAAACCAGTCACCGTAGTTACGTCCTTAGGGGTCCCGCGATTACAGTCAATGCAATCATGATAGTGAGTCAGAGCAATTGTGGAGAGACCTGCTCTTGTCATATTGTTGCTGTCCAATCAATGTCCAAATTATGAAGAAAAAAAATATATATATATTTGAATAAAAAAGGGACAATTTGGATTTAAAAAAATGCAAAACTATGAAGCACAGTTCATTATTACATCGTTGCTGTCCGATAAAAAACTGGATGTTCCAGTGTAATGTCATTTACTGAAACTGGTGTTGGGAGCTCAATACTTTTGAGGGGCGTGACTGACAAAGTCGTCATGTTTCGGACTCCCAAAATTCAGTTTTATCAAGATATGTGCACTTGCCAAAAATGTTTTCACAATGTTATTTTTTTATTTTTCAGGAGCTTTGTTGAAATTATGCTGGAATATCTACCTCTGTAAAAAAAAATAAAATAAAACAACTAGCCATAACATTTTCAAACGGAATCGGAGTAAAGGGACCTTAGGAAGCTGAGAGCATTCAGAAGCGACGGGGAATTAGGAACATTTCTGCTCCATGGGTAGTTTTAATTGACGGTACATTAAAAAATATAAAACGAGGCAAAATTTGAACATCAACCTCTGAGCGGTGAGGCAGACGGGCAAACCAGCAGTCCACCATGCTTCCCTTCTATGTTCCAAATCTCCTAAACTATTAAACGTTATTGAGTTTGGATGTTAAAATCACCAGAGAGCTGGCTGACCATCCTGCGCAGCGTCACCGAGGAGGAGCGAATAGGCACCTCGCCGCTGTCCAGAAAGATCAGGCCGTCCGTCACATATTTTAGCTCCGACTCGCGGGTCCTCCCCATGGGGTTCTTGATGGTGAAGTTGTCCACGTACTTCTCCAGCGGGTCGTCCAGTGAGCCGATCTTGCCCTCCTCCCACAGCCGGTACAGCATCAGCGTGGGGAAGATTTTGGACAGGCTGGCTATTCTGAAAACAAGATAAAGCAAAGTTACTCAATGAGCAGCGAACGCTTTCATCACGGGACATATTGTAGTTATGGTCCCCTCAGATGGTTGCTATAACTGGGAAAAATATAAATCCATTCATAATCAACAACGCTTATCCTGAACAGGGTCAGATGGGCATGAGGGGTGGCACTGGAACATATCCCAGCTGACTTCAGGCGAACTACACCCTGAACTGGTCACCAGTCAGTCGCAGGGCACATTTAGAGACAAACAACCATTCACACCCACATCCAACCCGTCACTGAGGGGGAACCGATCCCACGCTGCGCGCACACAAGTCAGATGAATGTACCAATACACCATCAGCAACATTGGGACAGATATAGAAATGTATGATCATGTCATCACGTTATGTTACATACACTACTGTATATACAATCCATTCTGCATTGGATTGTCATGACATTCAATGTCCGTCCATCCATTCATCCATCCATCCATCCATTTTCAACACCGCTTATCCTGAACAGGGTCGCGGGGAGTTCCTGGAGCCTATCCCAGCTGACTTGGGGCAGAAGGCAGAATACATCCCGAACTGGTCGCCAGTCACTCACAGGGTAGATATCGAGACAAACAACCATTCACACCTCCATCCACACCGTCACTGAGTGTGAACCAATCCATACAATGTCGGTATTTTTAAAAGAAAAGCAATACTTTTAAATTCAACTCATATTCTTCATAGAGCACTTTATGCACTTTACCTCTTCCTACTCAGGAAACTAAGGTCTTTTGGGGTTCAGGGGTCACTCCTTAAGACCTTCTATGACTCTGTGGTGGCTTCGGCCATCCATTATGGCATTGTCTGCTAGTCAGGCAGCATCTCAGCCCCGGACAGAGAGAGACTGGAGCGACTGGTCAGGAGGGCCAGTTCTGACCTGGGCTGCTCCCTGGACACTCTGGAGGAGGTGGGCAACAGGAGGATGCTAGCTAAACTAAAAGCTATGATGGACAGTCCCTCCCACGCCCTCCAGCCCACCCTGACAGCACTGGGTAGCTCCTTCAGCCAGAGACTGTTACACCCGCGCTGCAAGAAGGAGAAGACACTGCCGCTCATTCCTACCGACTTCTGTCAGGCTGCTAAATAAACATACATGAAAACCTGGACTCACCCCATCCATACATTGTAAATAGCACAGCCACCTTACGCAGCATACATGCAGTTGCATATATTCTTATATCTATATTTTATATTGCATTCTGTACTGTGTACAGTTCTTTTTTCTGAAACATTTATTTTGTGCATGCAATACTTTGTTTTTCTTTTCTCACATCCTCCCCCCTCCCCTTCAATTCTGCTGCTGTAGATTGCAAATTTCCCCAGTGTGGGACAAATAAAGGTTTTCTTATCTTATCTTATCTTATCTTAAGAACAATAACAGCTGAAAGAAACTAGAGATGTGGGAGGGAGGTCTGCATTACAGTAATCCAGCCAAGGTGTGATGAAGGCATGGATTTCTGATTCAAAGTGCCAGTCTGCCAAAAGTCTTTACCTTTAGGTGTCAAAAGCTGGACTTTACGACCGCACAGTTATGCTTATCCAGTTTAAATTCACTGCCCAACTTAAAACCCAAGTCTGAGACACTTGGCTTCACAAAGTGTGCTAAGGGACCCAAATCAACATGGAGGGATTTACAAAAGCCAAGGAGATCAGATTTGTCTTTTTTTCTCATTAAAGATTAATAAAAGTTCAAAGGCTGCCAGAGCTTTAATCCCTTCAAGGCATAATAAAAGCAGTTGTAGGGAGAAGGCACTTTTCTTCTCGAGTGGCACATAAATCTGTCATCAGCGTAGCAATGGAATGAAAACTCTCCAGACTAGAAAGACTGGACTGTATTTCTGTTTATTTTAAGGTTATCATCATTGAGAAAAAAAAAACAGCAACTTAAAAAAAATCATTTCTAAGTGACGTTCACACTTTTGAACGATAACAAATTGAATTTACAGTCACAAGTGATGCCAATTGTTGCAACCAAATATTTAAGGATACAGCTTTCGTTCAATTTATATTAAGAAGGGATTCGGTGAGAAAAACGCTTGTAATATCTTTTAAATGTTAACATTTTGGTACAGATTATCATCCTTGTGTCACAAAATATATATAGGACATTCTATGTTATTTAGTTATATTTATTCTAAACACTTTATTGGGCCATGTTAAATGATTAGTGGGCCAGATCTGCTCCCTAAGGCCCCCATTTTACATGAGAAAAATCTCACAGCATACCCAAACCCCAAAATAACGCCACCAAAATTAAGAATACAGAAATAATGATCTTGTCTCATCAGAAATTGACCATTTAATTGAACACAAAGCTGACCAATTTACTAAAAGCCTTGACTTAATCTGTTGTATGAATGGTCACCGTGTCTTTCTCTGCTAGCTGGTTGCCATTGACAGCAGCGGCTCGATACACGTCCAAGTAGAAAGCTGCCAATATCTCAGTGAATAGAAATAAATTGCCTGCCGTCTTCAACATAACTACATAATCGTCTCGTAGCGGGTAAAATGGAGCATCACCATCATCTCGTCTTAAAAGGACCGAATGATTACCTTGTTCTGAGCCACATGTGGATTGTCTATGCATTCTTCTACAACTAAATAATTTTGTGACCACCAGGTCAAGCTAATTCAAAGTCAACACAGAATTACATGCTTACATTATACATTTAAGATAACTGTGGTTAAAAATGAGCCAATGCTGAGAAAAATGGACTCCTGAATTATGGAGAAACTTGCTTTTTCTCTTTTACTTTTTTTCCTGATTTTTTGGGGTGTAGCTAGAATGGAACTCACTCATCACAGAGCCTGCGGAATGTCTTTTGGGAGGAATCTACAAGATGATTGGCGTAGGAAAAAAATCCATCCATCCATTATCCAATCTGTTTATTCTGATGAGGGTTGCAGGCTTGCTGGAGCTTATCCCAGGTGCCTTAGGGTCTGAAATGGTTGGCAGCCACACATAGAGAAACACCCATTGACGATCACAATCACACCTAGGGACAATTTGGAGTATTCCATTAACCTGCCATGCATATTTTTGGAATGCGGGAGGAAACCGGAGTACCCGGAGAAAACCCATGCAGGCATGGGGAAAATGTGCTAACCAGTCAACGACGATTCCACCGTAGGAAAAATTGAAAATAATTTCACAGAAGTGGAAAAAAATATTTTGTTTGTTTGTCACTTTAGTTAGCAGGCTACATTCCCATTCATGCGGGATCATTTTGTTTGTTTTGTTGATTATAACGGGACAGATAGAAAAGCCTTAAGGAAGCAAACACCCAAAAATGAGCTGGAAAGGGGGTTCATGGTTGTTTGAAGGAGTCACTTTGAGCAAATTCCAGGGAATTTGTTTCCCTATGAACTCCTGTTAATGAGATTTGCTCCAAGTAGGTCGCCAAGATACTTGCACGTTGCTACATTGTGAAGCTTTTCCCCTGGAATGCATATGCTTCCATGAACAAATAAACAAACAATAAAAAATAAATGTAGAAACAAAATTATATTGTTAAATCACCTGTAGATGGTGTACTCATTGGGGGGTCCTGAGAATGCATCTGAGCTGTTCCTTTTGCCAAAATTGCCGGTCCATAAAACGGTGTCGTTCAGGATGACTATGGCGGAGAGAGCTGGGAGACTAACTGGATTGATGCTCTGGCGAAGCAAAATGTCCACCTGCAGGGGCAACAGACAACACATTCAGGGATGGAAAAAACCCCCAACTTCAATGCATGTTGGAATGACCACTGGCCAACGCTTCTTAAAGCAGCATATGTTCAAGCGTCTGTCAAGTCAACCAGTGCGTCCTGAAACCTTCACAATGATGTCATAGGCTTCCATATGTTCTGTCGCGTCTCGCTCGGCTGGCAGTAAACATGCAAAGAAGTAATGAACGGATGTTCTTTTTCCTTGAGGGAAGCACATGGGAAATGTTGTTTCGACTGTGCTGGTGAGAAAGCACTTTTTATTATTTTTTCCTCCTCAATTTCAGTTTTGCTTTTTCTTTTTTTTCCCTCCTCAATTCAGTTTTGCTTTTTGGCAGGATTTTTTTTCAACATTTACAGCTCAGACCCATATTGTGCTCATCTACAAGACACTTTAATGACAGCTACGTAACGTTTTCTGTCTCATAATGCAAAAGATAACAGCATCTATGCATCTTTCGCTATCCAACATGAATGCAATGGGAAAACAAAGAAAAATACAGCGTTCTGAAATGTTTTCTACTTCTGTTCATTTATTTCCCCTTATTTATTGCAAAGCTATGTTAGACTGCTATATTTTGTTGAAATCAGTTTTTTTGTTTACGAAATATAGCATTTTGAGATTTCACTAAGTGTATTATAAATGAAATGTATTATTATTATTATTATAATTATTATTATCTCCTGTCACAATTTAAGCGTCCCCTCACCTTAACATTCAAATGGTATAGACCTGTCCCTCCAATCCAAGAATCCAGTGAAAATGAAAGTAACCCGCAAACTATCAAACGGACAAACAAACAAAAATATAACACTCTAGAAGATTTTCAGATTCATAACATTTATTTTCCCTTTTTGCTGCCACAATGACCCATGCTGCTCCATGCAAATGGAGGTTTCTTACCATCTGAATGAATGTATTACGATATCCCACAGGAATGGGAAAGTTGGCTACTAACTAAAGTGACAAACAAAAAAAGACTCTCCTCCACTTCTTTGAATTTATTTTTTATTTCTCTTACGCCAAAAATGCAAATGGTAGATTCTTGTCCCTTGAATCCAGTGCTTCTCAATTATTGTTTGTTATGCTCTCCCTAAGTCAAAGAAAACATTTAGCCACCCCCAAGGAAGAAGAAAACATTTGGCACCTCCAACTCTCTGCCGCGATATATATATATATTTGAAGAGCATTAATTTTCCTGGACTAAAAATAAAAATAAAAAATAAAATAAACAGTGCCACTGCCACCTACTGTCGTGGATGTGTAGTTGCAAAGCGCGTTCCCTGGGATCACACGCGCCCCCCATGTTCAATCTTTTTCCGTGCTCTATATCGCCTCAGGATTAGCAGTGCATCTGTACTGTACAGTAAATATTCCCATCCCCAGAATTCTAAGAAAAGGAATTTCCTTCACCCGGAACAAAAACCTGTGCATTAACATTTTGACTACGATATTACATGTTACCGGAACTTACGTAAGCGGAAATTCCACTACCCGTAACCCGGATTGAAACGTCATGCCGCGGGAGCTTAAATACACAACGCCCACCCGATGCTATGGAACGACGACGCTGAGACACATTTTCACTTCGTGTTTTTCGAGATTCGAAACGACGACGTGTAAGTGAGTTTTTATTGGCGTGCGTTTGACTGCAATTGCGAAAGATTTTAACTTTATTCACTAACGTCGTGTAGATCATGGCATCGAAACGTAGAAGAACTGTAATGACTGGAGCGGAGCGAGTGAAATGCATCCGTTTGAGCGAGGCTGGACACAAAGTTAAAAGCATCCAGCAGACACTTGGAGTCGGAAAGACGCAAATCTACGAAACTTTAAAAAACAAGGCATCGATTCAACTCCTGATGACAAGCCACCATCCAGCGAGGAAGCAATGCAAATGGCAACAAATCCATCAGTATGCACAAGAATTACCAGACATCGGTGATCAACGGGACAGTTGCTTGCAACTAGCAAGAAAACTGTATGACACGCAGGCAAACATTGTCATAAACCAAAGAATGCATCCAACAAAACAATCCAAAATAGACACATTTTTTTCCCAAGACAGAAAAAAAATAAACATTAAAATACTGTACGTATTTTACTGTTGTGATTTTTTTTGGATACACCTGTATTGCAGTTTTTGTTATATAAACAGTTTTTGGAGAGTATATTTTTGTATTTTATTGATTGTGTTGTTACACGTGCATTTTGTCAACATACTTGCAGGTTCATAAAGGACATGTACCATGCTCATTTCCCAAATGAGGAATTTCTGTTATCAGGACAAATTGGACAGCGCAAACACGAGTCCGCACTAGAGAATATTTACTGTACATCGAACACAGATACACCCACTGACTTGAATGTCTCACTCTTGTACCTTTTCCAGTGCCTCTTTCAGAGCAGGAATGGGATGCTGTAGCGGAACAGGCTCAGGAAAGCGAGGACACCTCATCTCGGATTTGGCATTGTCACCCAGCCCTTCATCTGGCCGTCAAAATGGAAATCGAGAACAAGTGGGAGAAGACAATGACTATAGGGAGCATGTAGGTACACTTCACCTGACAACTGAGAAAAATCAATTCCATATGCTGCGGCAATCGGAGGACATCAATTCTTTCCCCGTCGTGCTTGCATAATATGTCAATGCTCAAACTATAATTTGCATTTTGAATGTGAAAATGAGAACATTGCATTGTGACATGTGGCGCTCATCTTTTCACACGGAGGCCATGCTTGGCAAATACATGTGGAGTTCTATTCACAGTTACGAATCTGATATTTGTCATTTGCAATGCATTCGAGAAACTCTAATATCCAGAGCTAAAACTGAATGGACAAAATGTTAACTAAGAATTGCAATTTTGATCATGTAAAATGGTAAAAAGGAAAACAAAAAGAAACAGCCACTTGTGTCGCATTGCGTGGCCCCATTTAGAGGTTAGCGAGAGAATGAGTAGGGAGCAGTAGCCCTAGGTGTGAATAAACATAGCTGTGCCCATGTTACACAACCCCTAATCCCCCCAAAAATAAGGAACGAAAAAAAAAAAAAAGCAAGTTGTATGGTAGACTGGTACTAAGGTTCCCCGGTATCGTGCTGTCAAATTTGATACTATGCCACATTTTTTAAACACGGGGTCTCAAAAAATGGAACAACAGCAGTCTTCAACTCTGTGTCTCAAGCAGGCTCTGCCTTTTTGGGGAAAAATAAAGATTTTTAAAAATGTCTAAAACCTTGCGATCCTGCATACTTTCCAGGTGCACACTTCCACACCCACCTGCCAAATAACACGTGTCAATTAGAGGACGGATCTGTGCATTCTGACAATGCAGAGGACACATTGCTAAATCAAAGTAATTCTGATGTTACAATTTGGCAATATACATCACGGCTTACTTCAGATAGAACAAAGATTTACTTGGTTGTGTAATTTAGTTTCGTTTAATTTGATTTAGTTAGGCACACCCTTCTCAAATTGACGATTTTATCATTAGCAATCTAGTCGACAAACTTCTTGAATTGTTTGTTGAATGTTTAGCTTCTTGAATTGTTTAGAGAGTTGGCAACAGCTCGAAAGTGCGCGACTACCTTTAGTGCAAATGAAGATGAAAGTGACATGAGACAAATGCTTACTTCCCCTCAATGGACAACTCTCTGGTTTTTGTGTGAGTTACACTCCTAATTTGTAGAGATGTAGTTTTCACAAGCAAAACCCAATCTAAAGCTGACAAGACATTCAGTGCTATTTATTGTTTGAAAAGTCAATTTAAGAGGTAATATGGACAAATCTTAAGATGTTTCAATATTTTCTCACATGAAAATGTTTCTTTTAAAGAAAACAGCCCTACTATTTGTAAACAGGCAAGCAATTTTTCTGTATTTCACCTTTAAAAGAGGCACACAGCTTTATTTTTAGCATTGACATTCCTGGTCCGGTGTACTGACTTTTTGATTAGTTTTGACAGTTGGCAACGGTTTGAACACTCTAAAACCATCCGAAAGCATCAAATAAACCAAGTTCAGTTTTTCATCATCAAGTCCTGAGTTAGCTGAGGAATGCCTTACAGTACTTATGTAATTTCACATTTGATGGGTGGGCAATCTGGGCATGCACTCCGGAGACCCAACTATTTGTACACAAGCCATCAAAAAGTAAATTCTCGATAATATGATAGCTCCCTCCATTTTTTTTTTTTTTTTTTTTGGTTTTGACTGTTGGAAACAGTTTGAGGACTCCAAAACCTGTCCGAAAGGCTGAAAAAGCACTCACCTGGCTGCAGCTTTGGAAGCTGATATTGCCAGAAGAAGCATCCCGTCATCACCATAGACAGCACGAGGAAGAACACCAAACCCACTTGGGTCCATTTCACCTTCATTTTCTTGGTTTTTGTGATTCCTTGGAACTGGATAGTGGGAGCAGGAGGAGGAGGAGGAGCCGGAGGGACGGCGGCTGCGGCGGCTGGAGGAGCTGTCTTGAATCGAAACACACATCACTCATTCATAAAAATTTTGCTCAAAAATGACTCGAATCCAAAACACAAGTGATCCCCTTGGCACTCCACATAATACTCACCCCCAGAACAGGACGGCCGAGATTAACAGTGACACAGCAATCTTCTTACCACCCAATCAGTCACCTAAACATCATTCCGCATTATTTCCAAGAGCGAAGGCATGTCACATGTTGACAAATGGCACAAAAGCGAACCGCCATGTCTGCTTTTTGCTAGCACCGCACTGTAATCTGACCACCGGTGCCACTCTTTCCCCAACACAATTCAATTTCCTCTCCTGTAGCTCTAGCCTGTTGACATCATAATCCCCAGATTTACTCCACCAAAGCAGTCGGCTGGGGGTGGGTGTGGGTGGGTGGATTTTAATCCCTAATCCCTGTGAATCACTTTGCTTCAGTCCATTATGCCGAGGGTATCCCGCGAGATGGTCGGTGGTGGGATGTTGCCCCAGACGACGCAGCATTAAGCCCCTGGGTTGGGTCTCTATACCTGTATGTCGCTGCGGTGTGGCCATTGTGGTTCAAATGAGGAAATCGAGACAAGGCAACTTCATCTAGCACATTTCATACCCAAGGAACTCAATGTGCTTCACACAAGCAAAGACAGAACGCCAACAAGAATTTACAAACGCTACAGTTTAACAACATTCAGAAGCAGCATTTGTCAACACGTCAGCAGAAAATATTGCTGCACATATTTACAAGCAATGTTAAGAAATAACTAAAAGATAAACTATGTTTAAAAATGTTTTGACGACAAGGCGAAGTCTGGAAAAAAAAAACCTTTTGAAGTACTGTATTTAAACTAGGGGCTGACTTCACTTCTGTTGGCAGTTTATTCAATTTGTGTGCAGCATAAGAGCTAAATCCAGCTTCACCATGTTGTTTTGAACCCTGGGCCTGACGAAGTGACCCAAGTCGCCAGAGCTCAGAGCCCGACTGGGTTCATATTTCTCCGTAGCCTCCACAGATTCATGATACCCTGTGCCGGATGCAGCATAGTCCTACCCTTTGCATTCAGTCAGAATCAAACCACTTGACAATTTAGTTTAGTTTTTTTCCTTATTGCATGCCAGCCCAGGCACAATTAAAAGCGCCCAGCCTTTGTGGGCTGATAAAAAAGAAAAATGAGCAGATGGCAGACATTCACAAATACAGTAAATCAAACAAAGTAAATCCCCTCACGTAGCATTCATGCACGTAACAGAAACTGAGCCAACTAAAATGGCTTCTTAACAGATATTTGAGTCTTTCTTCCTTTGACATTGCAAACCAATACATAGCCACGTTTGACAGTTTACAAAATAATTGCTTCCTGTGTGGAGTTTGCATAAACTCCCCGGGCCTTCGTGGGTTTTCTCCGGGTACTCCAGTTTCGTCCCACATTCCAAAAACATGCATGGCAGGCTGATTGAACACTCTAAATTGTCCCAAGGTGTGAGTGTGAGCGCGGATGGTTGTTCGTCTCTGTGTGCCCTGCGATTGGCTGGCAACCGTTTCAGGGTGTCCCACGCCTACTGCCCGAACATCGCTCGGATGGGCTCCAGTACCCCCCACACCCTTGTGAGGATAAAGCGGATTGGAAAATGGATGGATATATATTGATGCTGAATCGACTTGCAGCAGCATGCAGCCAAACAATTAGTGACTCATTGGCAGATTCCAAAATAGGTGGCCGGCCAGGGGTGGGCGTGGCTGACTACTGGAGCTGTGACAGATGTGACAGGTGCTGATGAATTCACCTTATTCATGTCTCAAAGCCAGATACCAAGTGTCAAATGCCAGAGAGTCTTTGCCGGATACAGCAAAGCCATCAAGGGCTACTACGCCTTATATAAGATAAGAAGATAAGAAATCCTTTATTAGTCTCGCAATGGAGAAATTCCCAATTGACAGCAGCAAAGTTATGAATGGAAGAAGTAGAACAACAAAATATAGGAGCTGCTGGAAAGGCAGCCACTCTCGAGGCGCCATCTTGAAGTCAATACATACTGAGTTATGATCAAACAATGGCATCCTAACAATACAAATGGGCAGATGGTTGTCACTGAGGGATTCCTATTATTCATGTCGCTAATCCAGATTTAAATTAGGACCGCGGGTTGCAATGAACATATCTTCCTTAAAGATGACTTTTGTGGCCTTATTCTTGCAGTTTTGAATGAAAAAAATACACGTGGCTCCATCATATAATCAATCAACAAAAGGGATATCTGTGTTGAAAAATCTCAGTACTATATTGAATTTTCTGTTCCTGAGGTTTGGCTGGGGCTTTATCACAATATGTGAGTGGTTTGTGGAAAAGCTCACTCCCAAAAGGATTGTGTGCAGGTGCTGATCCGGGTTATATAACCTGTGACAAAGCGCGCGCACACACACACACACACACACACACACACACACACACACACACACACACACACACACACACACACACACACACGTGCACATGCACGCCTTTTCACCTGCACTTGAAGCCCATCCATGGTGGCCTCCCTGAGGACTTTACTCCCGGCCTTGCCCATGCTTCCAACTCACCGGCTGTGACCTGACACAAAAACACACAAATGGGGCCTCATTTGCATTTGCAAATGTATTCGTATTCACATTCTGTATTTGTGCAACATGCCGATATTCACACTATCGCGCACCAGCTAGTGAGCGCCACCTCACTCCTACGTCATCTAGATATAAACTATAACTCGGTAACAACAGGTACGGAAAAAAACCCAACCGGATCAGTTGATGCAACTACATAAGCAGAGAGTGTGATAATTCAGTCCATAGTAAATATGTCCCAGTGTAAAAAATAACAGTGAGGATCTTATGTGCTTTACACACACACACACAAAAATATCCATCAAAAAATTAAAGAAGCGATTTCTGAAACACATCCTGTTTCTAATAAGGCAGTCACATGCAGCTCTACAACATATTCCAATTATTGCAATATGAAACAATATGGCCCATTATTACATTTTCACTTTCAATGACCATTTATTTGATTGCTGAAAAAAAATAAATGCACGCTAGAGATAATGCTGACAGATACTTTCACTGAAAATATCACAAAAGAAATGCAGAAATCTTAGACTACAATGCTATTTAACACATGACAGCATATCAGATCAATCCCCATAAGCCATATTAATTATGTATCAAAACCCCAGATGATCTAAAACTATTATTGCAGATCAACGTGTTTCGCGTTCTCTTGTCTTGTCTTTTCTTTTTTTTTTTTTTTTAAATTTACCAACATATTGCTACTTATATCCAGTAGGACGCTGTATCATCTTTCAAGTATCGAAAGAAGAGTAGCTTAACTGTATTTTAGTTAACAGTATTGCAGTGGGACCCGACCGATTAAATCTGCCAATTATGGTTCTTCAAACATTGGTCAAACAAACACGGCCCAAAAAAAAATGGGCCAAATAGGCCATGTTTGGCGATTTTATTTAATTTTATGCACTTGAATCATTTACTGTATTCTAACCATTTAATCAACTGAGTCGTTCAACATAATTTGTAGCCCAATGTTTGCAAGCAATGGTAGGGTGAATTGACCTGAATGTTGATCTGAGTGTTTACATACAATCTAAAGTACTGATTTGTTGAAAAAAAATAATGAACCATAGTGCAACATCCATCCATCCATCCATCCATCCAACTGTTTGTTTTTAGGTGGTAGTTGGTGTAAATCGTTTGAGAATCACTGTATTAGGGATTATTAGGAAGTACACTAGAATTATTCTTCTCATCCTTTGCAGTACAATGATGATCCACAAACCCAATGACCTAAAGTATCATTCAACTTTAATGCACCATTAAATATTTATAGCTTGTGTCGGAAATCTTGCCTTTGATGTGGCCACAATGAGCATCGGTCAATTGATATGAGGAGTTATGTAATAATTCAGCCCAGCATCATATTAAACTTGCACTGTAAAAAGATCAACCCATGAAATCTACTCAATAAATGTAGGGTAACAATTTGCAGCCACTTGAATTGGGTAGATTTGAATCATATATTTTGAGAAATGAGGACATTAATTCAAAAGCTATGAAATGATGGTGAATCCACTCAGAGTGATTGTCCCACGCTGGTGTCATATTTATGAAACAAATACCATGATGTCCAACACGCAAATCCGCAGAGTGCCGAATATGTTGATCAAATACACTAAAATTACGTTCGACCACCTGCACAGCAAAATAAACCTCATTTTCGCCAAACCAAAATATGGCCTAATTTTTTAATCCAAATTTGCAGATGTGCTGTGGGGCGAGGCCAGAAACGCCCAGAATCTATCAAATCATAAAAATGCTGAACTAGACCATTGCCCCATGGAAATTACAATGCAGCCTACATTCTGTTACCAAATTTTCAGATGACTCGGGGGCGAGGCAGGTCCGTGCGCTGTGTCGCAACCAGGGGGGGCTCAAGAACATTCTAGGGAGGCTTCAGCCCCTTAAAATAGGCCTAACCACACCACTGAGTGTCGGTATAAATTACTTTTTTTTTTTTTAAAGACTGACTGCCTAAAATAATTAGGTAAATTTTACATAATTTTCATGATGGGTAATATTTAACACACTCCCAAATCGTTTTTTTTTTTTTTTTTTACAGTGTGTGGCTTCTAGACACACACTCATCAATCTTCTCGATATACTCGTAAATTCCAATGAAGCAATAATAACCAACGCTTTGACGTGACAGCCAGTGTCCCAGCATTATTATAGGCAGGACTGCACACAAGCACATTATATAAGCCCCGTAATGAGTCAAACGGCTTTTTTTTTTAGGCCACGAGATGCCCCATGGTCATTCGCTCCTTGTCCACTTACCTCAGGATCTATCGGTGACGCTTCTTTTGGGTCTTTATTGAAACGGAGACGTGGTTAAAAAAAATAAAATAAAATAAAATAAAAATCTTCCGCTTTGCTTCAGCTCCGAGTTTGGGAGCTCGGGATGT